ATGTTTGTGAGAATCGCAACAAGAGCCGAGGATGTTCAGAGGGTCTTCACGGCTGGCCAGGCCACTGGAAATTGTTGTCGCGTGTCGCCACCGAAAAGCCCTGAGCCCCAAGAGCCCTCAGCTTTCTCACGCGGGGGGTTAGGGTTTATAGGGTTTAGGGTTTAGGGTTTAGGGTTTATAAGGTTTAAGGTTTAGGGTTTAGGGTTTAGGGTTTAGGATTTAGGGCTGTCAGCTCTCAGGCCATGGCCGCGCTGAAGGAGGATGGCACAGTGGTGCCTCGGCTCAGCGCTCTTCTGGGTGAGCCCGATTTGGGGGGTTACGATATTAGGGGGTACGATTAGGGTTTAGGGTTTGGGGTTTAGGGTTTAGGGTTTGGGGTTTAGGGTTTAGGGTTTAGGGGTACCTTATTGGGGTCGTAAACCCCGATTTTTGCATCCCAGGCATGAGGAGTGAAGGTTGGAAAGGCTTGACGACGACGACGACGACTACTACGACTACTACTACTACTACTACTACTACTACTACTACTACTACTACTACTACTACTATTACTACTACTACTACTACTATTTGCTTAAGAACCCCCCCCCCCCCACCCAAAGAGATAAAATGACAAAGGGGGGTTAGTGGGTGTGACGGCTTGCTGAGGTGGCATGGGGACATCCCATCTTCGGCGGGAACTGCAGCGAGCAGCAGGACTGCCATAAAGGCTAACCCTAAGGGTCCATGTACCCATATAGCATATACTTGGGCCATAAAGCTACTATATGGGAACCCCTTTAAGGCCCAAGTATATACTATATTGGTACATGGACCCTTTGGGTAAAGGGGTCGTCGAACGTGGTGACTTGTGGTGTCTGACTCACGATGGCGCTTTGGATGCAACTGCTCAGCACGGCACTTTGACTCCAGGCGAAGCTCGTGAAGGTCCATGACATCTTTGTTGCGGATGGTGCCTTTGCCGCTCTCAAGGCCCCACCAATCTTTCGCAGTTTTGCCGATCATCTCTGCGCTTTGGGATGTTCCCCCTTATACTAACAATCCTTAATAGGGATTATAGTACCCCCCCCTTTGTAATGCTCATAAGGACTGTTCGTATAAGGGAGAACATCCCAATCTGCACTTGTGGCAGGAGGATGGCACAGTAGTTGCATGGGGGCACCCAGAATCTGGAGGGGAGGCTTGTCTGCAATCAGAGCTGGCAGAACCCTAAACCCTAAACCCTAAACCCTAAACCCTAAACCCTAAACCCTGAACCCTAAACCCTAAACCCTAAACCTTAAACCCTAAACCCTAGCTCGACACCCATGTTGCACACCGCGGAGAGATGGGAAGGGCCTCCGCGGTGCCCTGTGTGCGTGCGTGCGTTTTTTTCTGAGCAGCCCGCCCCGCCTGAAACCCTAAGCAAGCGCTATATACCGCAAGCCTTAATCTTCAGACCTAAAACCCTAAACCCTAAACCCCAAACCCTACACCCTAAACCCTAAGACCCCAAACGTTCAGCTCGCAAGGACTGCAGCCACATTCGGGAGGACCTTTGGGGCATTCGCAGTATCCAGGCCGCCTGCCTGCCATCTGCGAGTCCCCAGAAGTGACGAGATTTCAATCAAGAAAGGGGGTTTAGGGTTTAGGGTTTAGGGTTTAGGGTTTAGGGTTTAGGGTTTAGGGTTTAGGGTTTAGGGTTCGGCCTCTATACCCCTAAATGGACCCCGAAATATAGGGTTTGGGGTGTAGAGTTTAGGGTTTAGGGTTTAAGGTGAAGGGTTTAGCCGAAGAGTACCAATCCCCTTCATCAGGACCTGTCAAAATTCCCCGAGCCGAAAGTATAAAACCTCGGAGGATGGTTTTGCACAGTGTGCTGGTCTGCAGAAGTGGGCATCCCCAAAACAGATCCTAACACCTGAAACTCTGAACCCTAAACCCTAAACATTCCTAAACAAGACCCCATATGGGGTTTCTGAAATTTAGGGAGGTACCTTATTGAGGTCCTTCTTGTCAGGGAATCCTACTATTTACGGTCTAGATTAGGGCTCTAAATCTTCCCTTATGGTCCCTTTATTATAATCCTCCAATACCGAATAATACCCCCAATTCCTAAACCCCCAACCCTGAACCCTGAACCCTAAACCCTAAACCCTAAACCCTAAACCCTAAACCCTAAACCCTAAACCCTAAACCCTAAACCCTAAACCCTAAACCCCATTCCAATTATTCCGACCCCTACATCACACCCGTGCCACTGTGCGAGGCCTCCAGCGCAGCATTTGCTGCTCTGCGCGAAGATGGCCGTGTGGTGACCTGGGGTCCGGGAGCTTGGAAAGGCCAAAAACCCTAAACCCTAAACCCTAAACCCTAAACCCTAAACCCTAAACCCTAAACCCTAAACCCTAAACCCTGAACCCAGGCCTACCACACAAGGGCGGAGACTGCAGCGCTGTCAAGGAGCGCTGTCTGCCACCTTCCCAAAGATGCCACAAGCAGTCATGAAAGGGGTGAAAGTCGGGGCTTAGGGCTTAGGGTTTAGGGCTAGGGTTTAGGGTTTAGGGTTTAGGGTTTAGGGTTTAGGGTTTAGGGTTTAGGGTTTAGGGTGTAGGGTGTAGGGTGTAGGGTGTAGGGTGTAGGGTGTAGGGTGTAGGGTGTAGGGTGTAGGGTTCGAAGACATAGTAGGGAACCCTAGTTAGGCACAGGCCCCAGTGTCACTCCAGGAGCACCTGGTGCAAATCGAAGTGATTGTGGCTGCTTGGCATGAAGGGAGAAACCTTCAACGGCAAAAAGCCCTAAACAGAGCAATCCCTAGGGAGAAGCCCAAACCCGAGACCATAAAAACTGTCCCAAATTGAAACACCCTCTAAGCTTGTAATCTCAAAAGGCCCGCACAGAAAGCCCCGAAACCCTAGAAGCCCTAAATAGAAAACCCTAAGGCCGCCAAAGCCCTAAACAGCCAAACCCTGAGGCCCGCAATGCCCCTACATGGATAGAGAACCCTAAACCCTAAACCCTAGACCGTAAACCCTAAACGGCTATGCTCTAAGCCCTAAACCCTAAACCCTAAACCCTAAGCCCTAAGCCCTAAACCCTAAGCCCTAAACCCTAAGCCCTAAGCCCTAAGCCCTAAGCCCTAAGCCCTAAGCCCTAAGCCCTAAACCCTAACCTTTTTCAAAGGTTCCCCCCATGGACTCCCCAGGCCTCCTATGGTGCATTTGCGGCACAGCGCAGCGATGGCAGCGTGGTGTGCCCTGGCTGTAGCAATGCAATTGGGGTTTGGGGTTTGGGGTTTAGGGTTTAGGGTTTAGGGTTTAGGGTTCAGGGTTTTTAGGGTTTAGGGTTTGGGGTTTGGGGTTTGGGGTTTAGGGTTTAGGGTTTAAGGTAAAGGGGTGGGGGGCTAGGGCTTGTTTAGGGTTGAGTTTCAGTGGTGGTTGGGTTTTCTTGTGGGTGGGGGGTTGACAGTTCCCGAATTCCCAGTCTTCCAGTCTGTTGCATTGCAGAGGACCTGGGGCGATGCCAACTACGGAGGGGCTGCTCTGCTGACTTACTTGAAGGTCCACGGGTACTCGTAGCTACAGATACTGATACCAAGGCCATCCATTAGCAGGAGTCGTTCTGGGATCTGTCCTAACAGATACTCGTATGCCCTGAGCCCTGGCTACCCAAAAAGCCCTGAAGACCTTTCAGCTCCAGTGAGGTTCTGCAGCTGTCTTGTCCTAGTGTACTTGGAGGTTCATGGTACTTATGTTACTTATTAACCAACTATAACGGTATTTATAACCCACTTAGAAGTCCCTTAAGTGCCCTGATATGGTTTTAAAGTACAGTTATAAGTACAGTTATAACTGGTTAAGAAGTACCATGAACCTCCAAGTATGATCGTTGCTGAGGACAGTGGGCCTGTTCAGCCGCTGGTTCTCGCTGCTATCTGACCACCCTATATGCTAGGACCGGGAGTAGGCCCTTTTTGTCCTTTTTTTAGGGTTGGGGTTCCCTTATCATCCCCGTAAAACAAAAGAAAGGGCACCCGTTTTATTCCTAGGTGACTCCCGGGTCTAGCATGACCCTCTTGAACACAAGAGGGTGCTCGCTTGGGGTCCGCTTGCGCGCCTCCAAGTGCTTTTAGAGGGGAGCTCGTTTCTAGGCATCACGAGATCTGTACAAAAAAAGATGCCAAACCCGTGAGGGTGTGGCTGGGGCCGGCTCCCAAAGATCAGGAGCAAGGGGCACCACGTGCGATGCCGAGTTTCTACGCGGAGAGTTTGATCCGAGCTCGGTAAAATTTAATGACTACACAAATACATGTGTATGTATATATAGAGAGAGAGGGCACTATATACTTATATAAATAATATGTATATATACATACACACACCCCAAACCCCTCCCTATCAGAGTCTTCACATCCTCTTGCTTTAGTCCTTCGGTCGCGTACTGTGAAGGTTCAAGGTACCTGTATCCAGTTCTCGCACCGCAACTTGCTCTCAACATCGTTCTTCCCTCTCCTTCGCAACAAGCGAATCCTTGACAGTTTTTGTTGGCCATGTTTGGCTTGCATGCTCGGCCAAGTTGCTGGAGAATCTCCAGTCTTGCCTGTTGTTTTTTTTGTTTTACCTTTGTTGTTTTGTAGAGCCTGAGACATGCCTTGACTTTGATAGCGTGGAGCGTGTGGTTGACTTGGCCTTTGCCCTTAAGGGTGTCGGTGCGGATTTCTCATACAGTATCAACAAATGTATACATGGCACCCTTTTCCCCCTTTTTGTTTCAAGGTTCCCTTAGCAAGGAACCAACCCAAGAAAGGGGTGCCCTTATTACGTACCCTGAACCCTCACCCTAAACCCTAAGGGAGTTAGAGGAACCTAATTTTAACCCTAAGGGAGTTTGAGGTTCCCATGTTGTAATATGGTTACTGTGCTACCAAGCAAGAACCCTAAACCCTAAACCCTTAACCCTTAACCCTTAACCCTTAACCCTAAACCCTAAACCCTAAACCCTAAACCCTAAACCCTAAACCCTAAACCCTAAACCCTAAACCCTAAACCCTAAACCCTAAACCCTAAACCCTGGTCCGGGTGTGGCTTGCGGCTTCTTCGCGTCTCGGATCGGCGCTTTCGCGAATCAGGCTCTCCAGAGGCCGTGGGTATGTGGACGTTTGCGGCCGAAGCAGTTTAGGGTTTAGGGTTTAGGGTTTAGGGTTTAGGGTTTAGGGGTTTAGGGGTTTAGGGGTTTAGGGGTTTAGGGGTTTAGGGGTTTAGGGGTTTAGGGTAACTACCGCGAATGCCATTCGACTCCTTTGTGAGGAATTCTGTAGTAGATTCGAATGCTTCCCGTGCCTGCAAGTGTGACACTACCTGGTTTGCATTTTCCAGCGGCCTCTGGGAGCATGCATGGCCACCTCTTCCAGGCTCAGGGTCTAGTGAGCTCAGTGAAGCGGAGAGCTTGTCATTCATCCTGGGTTTAGGGTTTAGGGCTAGGGTTGAGGGTTTCGGGCTTGGGGTTTCAGAATTTAGGGTTTAGGGGGTAGGCCCTCCGGGATATTTTCTATTTTCCCTTGCTGGGTTCAGAAGGATCCTATGTAGGAATCTTCTGTCAGAGGGTTTCAAGGGCCATCCTAGGTTTAGGGTTTAGGGTTTAGGGTTTAGGGTTTAGGGTTTAGGGTTTAGGGTTTAGGGTTTAGGGTTTAGGGTTTAGGGTCCCCCTCGCCCAACTTCCAAAAGTTGGCCCGAGACCCCAAACCCGAAGTAAGTCATAGACGCTTGAAGCCCTGAGCCCTAAACCATGAAAAAGGTTTGCGGTTTAGGGTTTGGGGTTTATAGGGTTTAGGGTTCAGGGTACAGAAACACTGAAACCAAAAAGCAAGAAGAGTGTGAGGGCTTAAACCCTAAACCCTAAACCCTAAACCCTAAACCCTAAACCCTAAACCCTTAGGGCTTAGGGGGCCTGATCTTGAAGAGGACTGCTGAGGGAGTGTCGCAGTCCAGGGCCTTGCCTTGCATTGCTAATTCTAGCCGATGGCTGCATGTTGCGCCAGGCACCCGCAGTGCTGGATCGAAGGTTTAGGCTTTAGGGTTTAGGGTTTAGGGTTTAGGGTTGGGGTTCATTGTTATCATGGGCGACTAGGCGGTGAGTAATGTGGCCAACGGGGCTGAGAAGTTGTAGGATTCTTTTGAATAGGTTTGGGGTTTCGTGTCTTCTGATCTGTTTGGCAGCAGTAGGGGGTTTTCGTGCAAAACTTCCTCTGGCGATTTGGATGTGCTGCGGTGCAGTTCGTTCCAGCAAGTCGCACGTACGCCAGGATAGTATTGGCGAATTCAGCAGTTCTAGCAAGTCCTTGAGGGGTGGTGTTCATGGCAAGAGCCGAGGACACTCAAACCCCACTGTTCCAGACTATTCCATGCCCTTACTCGGTCCAAAGTTGAAGAAACTTTGCCTTGCTGCAATGGCCGCATGACCTGGACTGTCTTGCGCAGTTCAGGTCGCAAAGTGAACTTGCAAGCAACATGGGTGTTTCCCAATAGTAGGGGGTACCCGTTTCAGGCCCCAAATATCCCTTAACGGGATCCCCAAGAAGGGTACTCCTATTTTCGGAAGCCCCCACATGTCAAAACTGAGGTGGTGGATGTGGCACTTGGCAACATCTATGGTGCCTGGGTATTGGGCAACTCCACATCCTAAGCCTAAACCCCTATAACCCCTATATCCCCTATAACCCCTATAACCCCTATAACCCCTATAACCCCTATAACCCCTATAACCCCTATAACCCCTAAACCCTAAACCCTAAACCCTGCCTAAAAGACTCCAAGATTCCTGAAGCCAACCCTGGATGATTCTCCTGTTTGTGCGCTTCGTGTCTTTGCCTATATACACCCTATCAATCCCTATAAACCCTGTAAACCCCTAAACCCCGTAAACCCCCCCAAACCCCATAGACCCAAGCCCTACAAACCTCTATAAACCCTATAAAGCCCTCTCAAGCACGACAAATCCCTATAAAGCCCTCTCCCTATAAACCCTCTAAAGCTCTATAAAACCCTCTAAAACCCCTAAACCCCTAAACCCCTCGAAAACCCTATAAAACCCTAAATCCTAAACCCTAAACCCTAAACTCTAAACCCTAAACCCTAAACCCTAAACCCTAAACCCTAAACCCAGGTGCAGTCCTCGGAGTGGTTGCCTCCGTCGTGGCAAAGACGATGAGTGCTCCTGGGACTCTCCCTCTTTAGGGACTCCGAATAGGGTTTAGGGTTTAGGGTTTAGGGTTTGGGGTTTAGGGTGTAGGGTGTAGGGTTAGGGTTTAGGGTTTAGGGTTTGGGGTTTAGGGTTTAGGGTTTAGGGTTTAGGGTTTAGGGTTTAGGGTTTCATGTTATGTTAAGGGATGCTAAGGCCCCCTGAGGGGCCCTTCATCCCATTTCCCTGCTACAGTGCCTGGAAATTCCTGAGAGCTCCTGGAAACCTACGTTGCCCCAAGTGTTTTAGGGTTAGGGTTTAGGGTTTAGCGTTTTGGGTTTAGGGTTTAGGTACAGCCCCTAACCGTCCCTTAAGCGGCTTCGGGCTATGGGGGTTTAGGTGCATAGAGCCTAGGCTGTGACAGCCATGGGCCTAAGGGAAGTTATATGGTCGAGCATGGTCGCTTACCTTCTTTAAAGGGTCCCGAAGTATGGGCCCTTTGGTAGTACAGGGTTTGGTTTACGGGGTATAATTCGAAGGGTTCCCCCAGTTTTAAGGGCCCATATTAAGGCGGTCATGTAACTACCCTACGAACGGGTAAGTCGTCTTCTCCTGCCTTTGGGCTGGAAGGTCTTGGGGGTGGATCCACTTCTGCTGACTTTTTTGCCTTCAAGGTAGGGTGCCAAAAAAGGGCCAAACCTTGTAGATCGCTATTTATCTCGGGGTACAGTAGCCGAATGGTCAGTGGTGGAGACGGATCTGACTCTGCACAGCTGCGAATGCGGTTGTAGCCAGCCACGGGTGGACACTGCACCACGTAAAGCCCTAGGCGAAAGGCACATTTCACCACTGCGCTGCTTCCCCTCCCTAAGCCCTGAACCCTATAGCCTATTAATCCTAAACTCCAGGTTTAGGTCTCAGGGTTCAGGGTTTAGGGTTTAGGGTTTAACGGTTTAGGGTTTTGGGTTTAGGGTTCCACTTTGTACGCCCCAACCAAGGCATTGCTGTCGCTTTTCATCGGTGACCTGGCGGCAATGGGGCCTCATTGGCCAAGCTAGAAGGGAGGCGGCTTTCCGAAAAACACGGGGTATTCTACAATGTATTTAAGGGGTATGGGGGGGGGCACCCCGAACTACCCGTACGTGCCGGGGCCATTTGCATACACTGCGATGCGGCCCACAGGCGACTGCGAAAGCAGGCAGCCCGAGCAAGTTGTGCTTCATAGCGCAGCCTTTTCAACCCTAAGCCCTAAGCCCTAAGCCCTAAACCCTAAACCTCAGGCACCCGCAGAAACGATTTGTGGCTTGATTTCGCGATCCAAGGACGCATCTTCGGAAAGGCCTGCGAGATCGTGTCCAAAGGTTAGCCAATCCACACGACGCAGTCCATGTAAATGCTTTCC